TGGGCTCTAGGCAACTGCCTGGTATTGCCTAATGGTAAATCCCCCCTGCCTCCTTAACAAGCAGAGCCTGTTCTACCGTCTCCCTTGAAGTGTTTTCCTTCTCTGTCAGAGGGAGACGCGGCCCGGAGGCCGGATGCGCTGAGAGCTCATGAGAAAGCCCGTCCTCACGCCCTCTCACCCCTCCTCTGTTCCCACACCCTGCCAGGGTTCAGACCACTGCAGCGGCCGTCGTTATCAACAGAGGCAGCAACAGCTCCTGGAAACAGGCTGAGCATCGCTTTAGTTTTAAACCTCATTAATAAGGTTTGCCTGGAGATGCCTGATGCAGTCCTGCCTAAACAGACCATTTAATCACTGCAAATAAAAGTTGGTTTTCCAGTAAAACATTTAAGTTTTTTTCTTTCTTTCTTGATATAATATTGATAGTGATAGTATGATAGTGAAAATACTGCAGCACACGAAAAGTAAAGTGAACAGATATTGATTCATAAAAAAAACCAGACAGGATTAAATGAATGTCTTGCTCTGGTAGCAGAGGTTTCAGTCAGACGCACCAGAGAACCAAAAACTAAAATATAAAGAAAACATGACAATGCACCCAGAGCCGCCTGATTATTAAAACAATCCTTCATTTCAGCATCTCCTGGAGTAAAAATCATTTCAGAGAACATATCTTCTGTATTTCTCTGAGGCGAGTCGGTGTTCTAGACCAGAATATCTATAGTCAACATACATGCTCAAGACATCAGATTTGCATTTATCTCTTTAGTTTTGTACAAAACATGAACTTTAAACAGCCTTAACGGGCGTCTATTCCTTTAGTTATGTACAAAAACAATCAAATAAATGTCAGATCGCCATACACACCAAAAACTAAGTAATTAAACTGTTTTTTGTACATGACTAAAGCTATAAATGTCCGTTAAAGCTGTTTAAAGTTCATTTTATTTTGTACAAAACTAAAGGGATAAACTGGTATTGACTATGCTGGTCTGACCAGGTATGCTCATCTGACAGAACACCGGCTCTCTGATTGGCTAGAAGCTGGACCTTCTGGGGACGGTGGCAGAGACAGTCCCCAGTGGGAGATTGCTGCTCCCCAAATGCAGGACCAACAGACCGCTGAACTCCTTTGTTCCTCAAGAAATCAAGTTGTACAACTCCTCACTGGGGGAAGGAGGAGGTGATAGGAAGAGGGACAAGGGTCGGCAGCCCCCTCCTTGGACACCTGATGCTAAACATTACCTGTTGTCACT